TTGGACCTTAGCAGTAGTATCATTTTAGCCGTTTATCACACCGAGCTCGTAGGATTTCCATTATAGGGCCGGTATCGATTTTTGATCGGTCTCTGTTCTCGGTTGGCAACCCTTTTAATAATGGACCCAAAACCCAACTGATTGTTTTTGATTCTTATTTTGGATTGATACCGATTATGCGTATCGGCCCAAGTAATAGCTGGGTATTCAATCAGGTTATGCTTCAGCCGTCGTGAAGCCGTCGAGCTTCGTTCGTTTAGTCCTTGAGTGAAAACTTGAACAACCCAATCGTCCGTGACTGGAGGTAGATCCATTTGTTCCATTTAGAAAAAAGATACGAATTCTCTTAGCATCTCGTTATCCTTTTGTCTTACCTTGAATAGGTCCGACTTTCTGGTCTCGACCTTTATGGCCCCAGCATGTACTTTTACGAAAGAATCTGCAAGCAAAGCAAAAAAAACTATAGAGTTAGACGGTAAATTATGATACCATATCATTGCTCCCTTTGCCAGGGTTTCACCGAATTTTTTCAATAATACAGATTCGATCTCATCGTTCTCTAGATCATTCCCTTTGATGGCACATGTGTAAGAGGTGACATATTCGTTGGGATCGGTTGTTCTATTATATTTAGGAATATCATTGATTGTTCCCTTTCACGAATTTGTTTGAATCCAATCCTTTTATCATTGGTGGAGATCCCGGGATCTGATCGACCCTGGAGTTATATATTTCTACTTTTTTATCGTTGACTTCGACTCGTTTTGTGAGTTCCTCGAGCAATTTAGCAATTTCGGGAGCAGTCCCCGATTCTTGCTCATTTGACTTCACTATGGCTGGCTCCGTTCTATGGGTGATTTCTAGAGATGGATTGGGCTCCGGCCTGCTTTGTAGTTAGGTTTGGCTCTACAACTGAGCTATTGCTGTCTGTTGAGCTTGCAACATTTCGAAAATCATACGCAAGCTGACGCTGTTTTCCTCGACGTTATGGGTATCTCGAGCTGCAGATCGAGTGCCTCCATGAATGCTATTTTCGGGTTCAGAATGTAGGTTCGCCTCAATGGCCACATGCGAATTGATATCTATTGGTGCTTCGATTCGGGCTCCAAGGGCGTCGACAAATGGTCTTTCGGTGCCGGGTGTCAAGTTATTGTTCTCATCTTGAAGATCAGTTTCTTGTCGATCGGCGTGGCCATTTGACTGGTAGTTAGTCGTTGCTATTCCGAAATCCAAGATATTTTTGGAAACAAGCGCAAAACACAACGGTGTATTTTTGCAGATTCGTATCAAATAACCACTGTTATCCTTAGCCCCACGGTGGGCGCCAAACTGTTTATCCGAAAAATTGGATAGAGTTAAATTTGTATATGGTTCTAAGGATACGTGATATAACTTGGTACAAATTATAGAGTGAAATAGAAATATATATATATTCTTTGACAGGTGGAATGAAATATAAGGCAGAGAAAAAGGAAATATCGATGAACAAGGCAAAGTAAATGAGCCCAAAAGTGTTAATCTTTCTGAAGTTATCTTTTTTACCATCTGTCCTTTATGCTTACAAGGATTCCCCCTTTATAGTAGATAGATCCTACTTTATCGATATAAAAAATATATAGTGGAGAACCCATGATGAATTATCTTTTCCTCGATTCCTGCCAAGATTCTTTCCCCTAGTGCGGTTGCAACGGCTTTTGTCTGTGAGCTCGATACCGGCTCGAGCTCGGTATTGGATCGAGCCCTCGACCTTGGATCGAGCTCGACTCTGACTTGGAGTCTCGATATTCGGGGTGAGTGTTGGTCGGTCTATGCATCTTCGATAATCTCCGCTTTGCCTCGTAGTTCGATTTGGATATGAGCTCAATAATGATACCGAGCTTGTCGTTGATTGGTCTTAGAGCTCGAAGCTCGACGCCCTTACTTCGGACCTCGACCAGTTGTCACGCAGATACCCTTTGATCGAAGTATTATCACCTCGACCAGTCTGTACGACCGACTTAATCGATTTTGACCGTACACAATAATATTTTGAGAATATATATAATTAGACCACCTATGAGAAGGGAATATGTAGAAAAATAGATTAGTAATAATGAGTCAGAAAACAAACTAAAATTTGATATAATTTTAATAAGTTTTTACACATAAATTTATATTCCGCGACGAAAGTATTGAGTTTAGATGAACCGACGAGCATACTCTACATCTGCCTATGTGAGTAAGAGTTTAATAATTGGGATAATGAGTTCTGAATATATCAAATGTTAAAAAAAGAACTTGAAAGAAAGGGCAGAAGAGAAAACTACAATATTTGTAAGTTGCCATTGTTTCAATTTGTACACGCATTGATGTACGTACGGGTAGAAATGAAAAGACAATGGGGAAGGGAAGGTCCAGATATTAGCAAATTTCTAGCGGTTTGTCCAGACAGATAAGGCCGCAAAATAGGTGGACAATTTGGGGGTTGATAGAGAATCCGACCAAACTATCACATCATTTCTTACCAATTGACTAACATTTCTCGCTCCCAATCATCAAATGCCAAAACAAGCAACCAAGCCACCGTTCTTGACACTAAAAATCTCTACTGAACTACTAGTAAAAACAATCTTCCATTGAATTGGTTCTACCACAAGTCTTACAATTCAAATTTCTATAACTCCTCGGTATTTCAAGCAAGAATGATGCGATGCGGAAAGTTTTACTTTTTTTCCATCTATGCTGGTGTAATCGAGACACCTTCATTCCTGATTTCGATGCAAAACCTTTGATTTGGGCACTATGTATACCTTCTAGTTCTTTTATATAGTAACCATTTAGTCCATACTTCATTGAATAATCATGCAAAGGCTAAAAATTGAAACATATTAAACCCGCATTTTCAGAACTTTTCCTCTATGTGATAACGATGTAAAGGCGACAATAGAATAGGTGCAATGTATGAACTAGATATTTCGGGTGCAAGAAGTACTACTATTATTTTGGTATTTGGATCTACCAACGTCAAATTAGGGATGAAGACCAGCAGTTAACAAACGTTTATTATAATTTCATTTAAAAAATAATTCACATGAGATGTAAATAATGTTGCTTTACATTCAATTGGGATTCAAGAAATTGTTCTACAATAGTTGCAATTTTTTTTCCCTTTTCTGCATTTTAGATGCAGAATTCGTCACACCAATTAGTATTTAAAAAAAAATAAAAAAATTGTGTTGATTGGTGGACTGACAAGACTTAATAAGAAATAGAGAGGGGGGAAGTTTGAAAAGGACAAAATGAAAGAAAGTAAAATGTGGGCGGAAGATGGAGAATGGAGAAAGAAATAAGAGAGAGAGAGAATCAAGGGGGTTGTCTGTGTGGGCTTTTGATACAATCCCAGGTTAGGCGGATCTCCTGAGTCCTGCCCTTCCCATTCAGATTCTCATTCACTTCCCTTCCCTTCCCTTCCTTTCTTTCTTCTTTACACATAATAATAATAATAATTTCTGTTTGATTTCCTCTTCCGCTCTTTCATCCTCTGTGTAATCTGTTTCCGTTTCTCTACAAAATCTTCCTCAATCTGTATATAACTCAGCAATAGCACGCGCACACTCTATTTGTAAGACTTGGTACTCTCTCTCTCTCTCTCTTTCTGACTCTTGACTCTGACTACCCCTCTCATTTTCATTCTCTTTTTTTATCGTTTTCTCGCCGCAGATCCCTTCATCTTCTCTTTCTTTTGTCTTCTTTGTTCTTTTTCCCCTCTCTTCTCCCTCTGTAACGTCGACTTCCCTTTTCGATCTGGACCGTCCGATGCTTCGACCTTTCTCCCTTTGACTGACTTCAACTCTTCTAATTTTTGCTGGTGGGGACTTGGTGGCACTGAGCTTCTACCATGGGCCAGTGTTACGGCAAGACCATCCCCACCGTTCGGGACTCTGATGGAACAACCATCACCTCCGTCGCCGGCGACGCCGATCACCCGTTACCGGCCACTCCGGTCAACAACGTTCCCTCAGTCAAAAACACACCTGCTCGATCTTCTGCTAACAGTCCTTGGCCAAGCCCTTACCCTCACGGTGTAGTAGCAGGTGTGACTCCTTCTCCCGCCAGGTCCACGCCTAGAAGGTTCTTCAAACGACCTTTTCCTCCGCCGTCTCCGGCCAAGCACATTAAGGCATCGCTCGCCAGGCGATTTGGCCATGCGAAGCCCCCGACGGAGGGGCCAATTCCCGAGGATGGTACAGCTGAGCCTGATCAGTCGCTTGATAAGAATTTTGGATACAACAAGAACTTCGGCGCTAAGTATGAATTGGGGAAAGAAATCGGCCGGGGGCATTTTGGTCATACCTGTCACGCCAAGGGCAAGAAAGGAGACCTTAAGGACCTCCCTCTTGCTGTCAAAATCATCTCCAAAGCTAAGGTAGCTTCTCCTTTTTTTGTTTGTTTTTGTTTTTGTCTTTTTTTTCCTCTTGAAAGCATTGGACTTGTCAGTTATGTCCAAGGAGACTGCTCCATTGTTTTTCTAATCATTTAGCTGCGCTCGGCTATTTTGAGCATACAAGATAACAAATTTGCAATAGGCAAACTCTTAGCAGCAAATTATCTAATTGTTACCTTTTCCTTTTGGATTTCTGTGTTTAGAGGGTAAAGTTCGAATTTTTTAAAGATGGATGAAACATGTAAAGGCCTAAAAGATCCATCAAACCTGTTGAAATCTGCAAATGGCAAATCTTCCAAATGTCGTTCTATATTTGGTTTCTAGTTTCAGATATTCTAAAAGCATTTATACTCTTCCTTGTGGACTACTCCTAAATGTATGAGGTTACGTGTTATGAAGGAAGGTGTTACAGAGAAACAGATGTGGAAATGATGAAGAAGATGGAGCATGTTCAATACTGATTTCATGTGGGGTTTTCGTTTTCACTGAAAACAATTGCCATCATCCGTTTGAGGAAATGCACCCTTGTAAATTCTGTGATCCACTGCTAAGCTCATTCTTCGGCTAAAGACCAAAGAATTATACTGTGTATGATCTGTTTAATCCAACCAAATCAGAACTGAGATCACTCTTTGGTTAAAGAATTTTTCATTTTCACTGAAAATTGAAGAATCTTACTGTGTATGTTTTGTTAATCAAACCAAAACAAAATTATATGGTTGGTTGGAGTTTCCTCCGAATGGCATATACTTTGTATACTCAGGACAGGCGTAAACTGATTTTAGTATCCAGAATCAGCAAGGTTTTGTGGTACAACCTGGAAATTGGAAAACAAAAATAAACGTTTTTCGAGAAATTGAAACTGAAAAAAGGTTTTGCAGTATTCATTTGGCCCTGGGATTCATATTAACTTTAGCTTGCTTGTGAATAAGGTCTTGTTTTGGGGTTGATCAAAGGTTAACCTGTAATAGTTTTCATTTGAAATGGTATTTCAAGTGAATCTAAAGATTAGTTGTTCTTTTTCCATTTTGGAAGCTCATATATTGCTGCTTTTCTTCATATTCGGTAGCCTAACATGAACTTTCCATTTTGGGCATATAATACATGCGCAGGCTATACTGATTTGAGCTGAAATATGCTCATAGGTTTTCACATCCTTGAATTTGGTATGGATTATTGGAGTATTTCTGTATCATCTAACACATGGAATGCGCATTGCTTTGGTTTGTAAAGAAGAGCAGTGCATATGACAAGCTTCATTGAATCTTCTCTAAAATGAAATACTATCTCTGGGAGCTTAAGACCTGAAGGATATGCTTAAAATGTGTGAATTTCTCGCTAAAAGTCATCCCATCTTTCTAAGATTGTGTGCATCATGTTGAATTTCAAAGAAGGCAACTCCTTGTTAATGCTACTTCAAGTCGCGAGACCAGGGTCGCCCAAATGACATTATGCGTGTGAAGTTTGTGACATGTTTATGTCCTAAGAATATGTTGGTGGAAACAATGATGTCGGGGTGGTCAAAACTATACTTACACATACCTTAATCTTGCAATCAAAAATATGGTTGAATGATTAGATTATCATATAGGTTCGAAGGAGCTTCCCAATTTCAGCTGTCAAAAGACTTAACAATTATGGAATTTATACCTTAAATTTTTGATGAATGAACAAAAATCGTTATTCTCTTTGGAGCGGTGAGGAGGGTAAATGTTGACTTATCGTAGAGATTTATATTAGCTCAATGTCTCTTTGGTGATGGTGGTGTTCGGGCAAGCTTTGCACCTCAACTATTCCACCGGTACTTACTGCCTCCCACCAGCACAAGTACCGGGTAACTTTTCCTACTAAGTTTAGGCAGATGGAAAGAAATCATCTAGTGTTATTTGTCTTTACGCGGATTTGACCCCTGGTCTCCAAGGTTTTCACCCCCTTCATTAACCACTAGGCCACATTTATCTTAGCTCAATATTGGTCAACACATCTTACGATTATTGTGCTGATGGTATGCTAGTGATTTTGAATGCCAAGTGGTCTTTTTAATACTCCCTTCATTTCAAAAACTACGAATGGTCTTGGAGTACAAGGATCGAACCTTCTAATTTGTATTTCAATTCAGAATTCAGACTCCCTCACATAAAATTTAGATATTTGTAATGCCATTAAAAAGATACTGTAATTAGATCTTTTTGCAATTGAAACTTTTTTGAGATATATATGAAAAGTTGTAGTCAAAGAAAAAGTCATTTGACTTCCCAAATAGTAAGTGTCATAGAAAGTGGATCAGAAGGAGCAAGTGCTTTAGAACACTTGAAGCGATTGCTCAAATATTATGCTCTATGTTTTGCCAGCTATATGCTAGGGAAAGAATGCTGACAAGGCATCTAGATAGAACTCATTCGTTTCTTTTTGTATTTCAAGTAACTCAACTCTATTAGATATAACATGTCTAGCAACTTGTTTTCAAACTTATTATGACTTGCAATAACCATTTTAGTTGAAACGGGTTTGTTGTTGTCGATGTTGCTTGAGGGAATAACTATCAGTATTTCAAGAACCTTTTTATGCATAGATAAATTTAATCCAGTCTGCAGCTTTACATTTTGGCAATCCTATCGTTGATTCATGGTGAAGTAAACATCATGTTTAATTTTTTCTATTTTCTCCCTTTAAATGCTAGACTAGGTGCAGAGTTTTATTCGCTTCCTTAAATATTCGTCGCATTTATGAATAAGAAGGTTTAGATTGGGAAATTTTTACAGATGGAATGCATCTAACCGTTGTGTTGAAGACTATTATCACGGGTTAAATCATAAAGATCGCAAATTATAGGTCGTGGATTACTGTAATTTATTAATCTAGTGAGGATGTAAATTAATGTGTATGTACACAATTTATGATGTTAAATTCGTGTATTACATGCATGTACTATTTACCTTTTTGCTGCATTTTCTACCTAGATCTACTCCTGTATTCACTGAATTATGTATCAAGTTTTCTTATCTATCATTTTAACGCGGCTGGCCTTTTTTTTTTTCTTGAAAAAGTTTAACGCAGCTGGTCTTGTTCTCTTTTTTGTTGGTATGTACACTATAATGGAATATAAAGTAAAGTTCGAAGTGGAGCATTCAATTTTGTTTTTTTGAATGGGTATGATGTCATTATTTGGTAAAAGACCTTGACTGTATTATCTTACGTGAATCATAAATGAACAAGATTTTAAAAATCTGTAGCTTGACTGTATTAACTTACGTGAAACATAAATTAACAAGATTTTAAAAATCTGTATGTTTCTTTTATGGTCTGAGTCTATCAGTTCTGATTCTCTTACTTCAGGATTTTGAGGGAAAGAACTCTTTTGCTTAGTTTCATTAGAACTCTAGTGGTTGATACCCAGTCATCATCACAGAATGCTGCTTGTTACCCAATGTTTATTGATTTGCTGAATGATGTTCAAATTTTATGTCCAGATGACAACAGCAATATCCATCGAAGATGTGCGCAGAGAAGTGAAGATTTTAAAGGCTCTTTCATGCCATAAACATCTTGTCAAATTTCACGATGCTTGTGAGGACGCAAATAATGTGTACATAGTAATGGAGTATGTACTTCATCTTCCATTAATGTATTGTTTTTCTTTTAACTTCTCATACACAGATTTCAGTAACCAATGCCAAGTCTGGAATTTTTCAAGATCGTCAGTATTTTGATTTAGTAATGAGCAGATAGTATTCTCCTCCCACTAGGAGAGCTTTGTGCCTTATGGTCGTTTTAACTTTTGAGTATGCAGATTGTGTGAAGGAGGGGAATTACTTGACAGAATATTGTCAAGGTAAATGAAATGCTTTACGTAAACTAAGTAATCTTATTTGGGTGCTTGTAGTTTGTATTTCAATGTTCTATATTTCTATTGCAGAGGTGGTAAATATTCAGAGGATGATGCCAAACTTATTGTTGTCCAAATTCTAAGTGTAGTTGCATTTTGTCATCTCCAAGGTGTGGTCCATCGTGACTTGAAGCCTGAGGTTTGTAGGCATTCTATCTGTGCAGACTAGTTGCTTTCTGTTTCCTTGTGGTATTGTGGTTAACCATGCCTTTTCTATTGCTGGCATCACAGAATTTCCTTTTCACCTCCAGAAATGAAGATGCTGACATGAAGCTTATCGATTTTGGGCTTTCTGACTTTATTAGACCAGGTAACTTTCTTAGAATCTGTATAAGTTACTGTACCGCCAGTCCGGAGCAGTCAGCTAGTTTAACACACAGTCTGTCCGTTAGAAGAATTCTGTTCCGTGTGTCACTTTAGCAATGGATTGCTGTTAGATGTGACTTATGCATGAAATTTCAACGTGCTAGCAGGAGTGAGACTGGACCCATAGTTGCCTCCATGCCCTCTGTATCAATTAGGTTTCTGTATTCTGTGTGTCTGGTGATTTAAACTAGTCTACTAGTAAAGTATACCATTGAAGTCAGTAAGAACTTGAGTACTTAACCTTAAGAAGTACTAGACTTGCTCCACGATATGATTGTCAAGTACCCCCGGGCAATGTCTTTTATGCTTGCTTCTGGACCTAATTAGGCTTCTTTAGAGCCATCCCAAACTGTTCTTATGAGCAGGATTCTCTTACTTTTTAAATTAGTTTTTCCTTCTCACATGAATGTGAGCTGGAAGGTGTGACACCATGAAGATTGAAGGTGTTACAAGTGGAGGTACACTTGAATTCATTTGGATAGAAGTAGTTGCGACGGACCAACAATCTCTTGGAATCGGTGTGGATTTGGTGGAGAACTGAACACAATGGAATTAGAGAATCCCCATAGATGATACCAACTAGTTGGAGTTAAGCTTTAGTTGTTACTGATGCAATTAGATTTGGTCTGGGTTTGACAAACGCATTTTTAGTTTCGTTAGAGATTGTATGACAGCATAAGGGTAGTTGTGAGAACTAGAGAATTCGTAGTTTTAGGGGACTCATCATTTTTAGACAAATCGTTAAGTTGTAGATTGGAACAAGCTCCAAATTGCAGATGTATATAGGGGATTCAAACAGCCAACTGCAAGTAGTTTGGTATTGAGGCATATTTGTTGTAGTAGTTCTATACTTCTATCTCACATTAAGTTATTAGTGACGAGCTAGTAGTTCATTCTTTGGTATACATGGAGTAAAGCACCTTTAAGGTTTGTATTTGAATGTTTCATTGGCTTCATGATTCCTCGCAGTCACTTATTTCCATAACGACCGTTTGATTACCCACAAACTCTATGCTCCTACTATTGATATGTGGCCAATCTAGAAGTTTTGTTGGCGTGTATTATTTTCAAAGAACACTTAGATCAACTCAAGAGTTTATTTTTCTTTGACCTATTCCACATTTGCTGTTTCGCAGATGAAAGACTTAATGATATTGTGGGAAGTGCATATTATGTGGCACCAGAAGTCCTCCACAGATCTTACAGCTTGGAAGCAGATATCTGGAGTATTGGGGTGATTACCTACATTTTGTTATGTGGAAGCAGACCATTCTGGGCAAGGACAGAATCTGGAATTTTTCGTGCAGTATTGAGAGCTGACCCTAACTTTGAAGACTTGCCTTGGCCTTCTGTGTCCCCTGAGGCCAAGGACTTTGTAAAGAGGCTTTTAAATAAGGACTATCGTAAGAGGATGACTGCTGCTCAGGCTTTGAGTAAGTAATTAACCCCTTCCATAAATTCATTGGTCGATTCTCAGCCTGTTGTTTTTTCGTATGAGTTTCAAAAAATTAGTGATGGGTTAGCTTGACTGAACTGAATTGTTGGAGCACAGTACAATGTGTTTAGAGGCGACCATTGTCCATATAGGGGATTGGATGAGATATTCTTATTCTCATCACACTATGTTCCCAGTTTATGGGGTACTTTTTAATTTCAATTCATGGGATGGTCATGATATATGGTGAAAAACGTCTCGTCAGGTGTACTTGCTGTGTGCTTTAAGCTTTTTCAAATTGGAGGTGTGGGTGGGAGTGGTGTTATTGTTGCTAAACATTTGTTATTTTTAGCTGAACCATATTCTATATTAACTTTTATTGGGTGTTTGATATGTCCATGCACACAGTTGTTAAAATATATAAAGTAATACATATTTTTCCAATTTCAGCGCATCCATGGTTGCGCAGCGAAAGCCATCCTATTCCTTTGGATATATTGGTCTATAAGTTGGTGAAGTCATATTTGCATGCTACACCTCTCAAACGTGCAGCACTAAAGGTATGGTGTTTTCTTTTTCTTTGTTTTTCCTTTTCCTCAGTTGACAATTATAATAGGGGATGAAAAACATCTATATTGTGCAAGCACATCTTCTAACTGAACTATATTCTCGTACTTAGAATATTTTGGCATTCATCTGAATTACATCCAGAATTATTGTTGAAGACCCTATGGCATGCCAAATAGTTTATAGAAGGTAACTAGGGCAGTTGGGTTTCGGAGACTAATTTACTATAAGTACTAAAACTTTTGGTAGTCCAGAAGAGAGCAAACTGATGGCTGATTGTTCTCGGTATCAAGCAACTAGGAAGAGGTAAAAAGAAAATAATTGAGTTGGAGAAGCAAATGGAAACTGGAAAACAAATACGTATTTAAAAATTTCTTAAAACAAATATTGAGTATGTAAATATGATCAATGCAGTTGGCAGGATATGTCAAATTCTACACAATCAACTTTTGGCTCTCATTCTAACTTTGCTATCTTTCCACCTCCAAGTCTAGATTTGGAATGCTTACTGGCATATATTTCAACACCATTCTGCTTTAAGTATCAAACTTTCCTCCTTGTATAGGCTCCTGCATTGTACGCCTCAGCTGGATAGTGAGTGCAGAGTCCTCCTGTCACCATATAATATATTACTAACGAGCCATTTCCTTGCTTTTGCTTTGGAGCTTTTCTTATTAACAATAATTTAGAAAATGGAAGACTCCATTGTAGCAATGTGGAAAGTCGATTAATAGAGAGTTCTCTTAGCGCCTTGCCCCTGAGAAAATGGTTATCTGGCATTGATTGTTTATTGTTATATATATATCGGATAAAAATGTCATTTACTTCTCACCTTAAATTAGTCTCATGATTTACCCTGTTATATTGGTCATCTTTTTGGTGATTGATACGGAATGTCTTTTATTTCATGAAATTCTTTGTTATTGTGCTGTTTTCATGGATGGGTTGCTCTTCTGATATGCAAATTTAACTTGGATCAAAATATGATCAGAATCTAGTCACGTAACAATATGCAACAACAACAACAACCCAGTATAATTTCACTAGTAGGGTCTGGGGAGGGTAGTTTGTACGCACCTTACCTCTACCCTGGGGTAGAGAGACTGTTTCCGATAGACCTTCGGCTCCCTCCCTCCAAGAACTCCCCACCTTGCTCTTGGGGTGACTCGAACTCACAACCTCTTGGTTGGAAGTGGAGGGTGCTTACCACTAGAGCAACCCACTCTTGTCAAAACGTAACAATATGCTAAGTTTTAAATGTTTTTGTGGCTGTATGTGTTCAGGCTCTTTCTAAAGCTTTAACGGAAGATGAACTGGTTTACCTTAGAGCGCAATTCATGCTTATGGAACCTAGCAAAGATGGACGTGTTTCTCTTGAAAACTTCAAAATGGTTAGTATCTTGACAACTTCTCTCCCTGTCTTTCTTAAAATAAATTAATACTCAATGATTTATGAGACTGAACTGTTCAAACATAATAACAGAGATGTCAGATTTCTCTTTAGCTAACTCTCTGTCAGTTGTGAAATCAGAAGTTACAAGCAGAATGTTTTGAAACTGCAGGCTCTTATAGGAAATGCTACTGATGCTATGAAGGAGTCAAGGGTGCCAGATATTCTGAATGCGGTGAGATGCATTTGATCTTTATAATTAGTTTTTAAACAATTTTTCACTGGTAGATAGCTGGTTAAGTTTCAGTGGAGAAATATGTAGCCTGCTTCCATCTCCGAATAATTTAGCAAGTGTAGCCAGCTATTTTACCACTGAAGGCTAGCTTCCATGCATATATTTTCTTGGACATTTGGGAGATCTGCTTGTGGACGTACATGGAGATCTGTCTTCTGACCTATCCAAAATGATTTTCTTTTGAAAGGCTCAAATATGTAATTAGCATTTATGTCTTCAATCATTTTGATCATTGTGTGAAGCCTATTATCCTTTTACGTTTCAGATGGCAACACTGTCATATAGGAAGCTGGACTTTGAAGAATTTTGTGCTGCTGCAATCAGCACATATCAGTTGGAGGCCCTTGAGGGATGGGAGCAGATTGCATCAGTGGCATTTGAACATTTTGAGCGAGAGGGGAATCGGCCTATTTCAGTGGAGGAATTGGCTAGGGTATCTTTCTATTACTATAGCTGTTAAGTACTCTTCAATATTCAACAAATTCTTGTTTGAGGAAATTCTGAGTTTGTTTTCACAACGATGCAGGAGTTGAATGTAGGCCCAACTGCTCATTCCATTCTCAGAGATTGGATAAGAAGTGATGGAAAACTTAGTTTACTTGGATATACCAAATTTTTGCATGGTGTGACTCTTCGTAGTGCACATATGAGACATCATTAGCATGTGTTTTTCTCCATTTCTTAACCTACTCATTTGGTTAGTGTTTGACAAAATGATAGAGATCAACTATTGATTCCAAAGAAAAAAAAAAGGTGTTGATGATATGAAAGAGATTTTTTCCTTCTTTCTTTCTATTTTCCTTTACAAGTGGGATTTTGGTGGCAGGCGAGATTTATACATATACGAGTTTAATAGAGTAGAGTGGCAAATTACTTGGAAGTTCTTGAGTGGCAGGAATTTGTTCATTGAGTTGTGTGTAGGTCAGGGATTTCTTTTATTTGAATTCAGTTCTTACTTGCACAGAAAATTTTAGAAACTAAGTTTGTCGTTGAGGGTTGTACTTTCATCGAGGCGTAGAGACTTCCAAAGTGCAGTAGCATATTTAATAGTTGTGCAAATGAGAATGGGATTTTACACAAATGCCGACCATATTTATTGTTTACTTTTTCTAGCTATATATAGATGCATTGATTATATATAACCATACACATATAATACATAAATTATACATATATTATATCTCCACTGGTTATTTTTAGTTTAAGTAGTGGTATAGCCGGCTATTAGGGATAATTCTTCAGATGGGGATATTGATGTTGAGTTTCTGACTTCCTGTTTCCTGTAATTTACTCTTCTTTATTCTTTCTAGTGATTAGTACAAAATAGAAATACTGTAGTCTGGTCCAAAATGTGAAAAACCAACTGATGAAGCCCCATAGAGTTATAGTAAGCGTTTGGACATAAAAATTATAATTTTTATAAAAAAGTAATATTTGGAGTTAAATTAAAAAATGGTATTTGGAATTTAAAATTATGTTTTGATATGATTTCACTTGAAAAAATATTCAGTTGGAAAAAGTTTTTCTGAAGTTTTGAAAAAGTATTTTTTTGAAAAATTCATTTTTGATTTTTTTTTTTCAAAAATTTGAAAAATTTCATGGAGAAACTGGATCATAATCTCTCCAACATTTGGATTATATAATATTGTATACCAAGTGATTGTCAAATGCGGAGTCACCACCTAGATCATCTTGTACGTCGTCTGTACAATTAATGAACTTACGCGAGTCCGAATAAGAATTAGTTGGAACGCGAATTCCAAACAAAAAGGATAATTCTTTCTAATACTATCAACTATTGAAATAATATCTTTATATAGTTGTTATTTCTATTCTATAAAATATTTGGAGCTCTCTTTTCTACTATTCTTAGTATATGCCAATTTAGAATATATATGCTATAAGCCTGTAGGTACATATGTTCCGCTTTTACTTCTTCAAGTATGGCAAAAGAATTATTTCGAATCTTTTGTACATATGTTGTACATTTATATACTTCGCACTTTGTTCTTTGTTTTTGTTCATAATATTTGAGCTAAGTTAATTTCTATGTTATTTTTGCATTTTTGTGATTTAAGCTAATTTTAATAATTTATAAAATATAAAAAATTAAAGTTTCAATGTACCATTCTCTACCAATTCCGTCATTCTCATAACAAGTGTTACTTTACAATAAACTGTGGACATATCGTCCACATCTACAGCATAACAATCCCTAATATTCCACCACCCTTAATTAAATTTCAGTCTTGGGAATAGAAAAATCAAAATAAAGACTAAAACAATCAGAGTCGGTGCAAATATACGTTAATCAGAGTCGCACCAGGTTAAAAACTAAAACAATCCCTAAAGAAACCGGTATTATCATGATTATTAAGAATGTATATTCTACAAGCAACATTTAAATGATGATGTGGGCTGCAAATTTAACAGAAAGAGAACAAGAATACAGAAAATAAAACGATAACAAATTCAGTACCATTACTTTAAGCTAACCCAATGACAAAGCATTGGAAACAAACAGAAGCATTTTTAGTCATTATCATTAACCATCTCCTATCCCTATCCATTCCTGGCCTCGATCTCTACCATTCTAAGAATCTAAAAAAAAAACAAAAAAAAAACTGAGAATTATAGATTCTCAAGCCCTAAAGCAGGGAACATAAAGATGGTGATGTTGGTGGTGTTTATCAATTTCTCCCTGAACGCAGCGGAAGTGTTCAACATGGCACGGAATAGTAATATTTCCCTTGTGATCAAAACCATAAACTTCCTCTGCCTCTTTGAGTAACTGAATGAAAAGTGGATGATTGAAGTAGGAAACAGGGACTACAAATCTTTGTTGCTCTTCTTCTGCTTGCCCTACTTTTATAGCCAGATACCCTTTGGGCAGCACATCTTTTTTCCCCTGTTTTTTCCCTTGATGATGATGATGAATAAGGAGGTGAGAAAAGTGCAGATGTTTGTTAAGAAGACTCAGACTCCTCTCTCCACCACCCATTTATTAGTTAATCCTAGAAAAGAAACAAGAAAGAGGCTTTTAATTTTACTATTTAATGGAAGGAAGGAGGGCTAGAGATTAGAAAGGATGGACTGTTTGAAAAGGGTTAAAGAAGAATATCGGAGAGACCTTGGGAAGTTAGTCATGGCTGAATTTGGAACATATAGGAAGATAGAGAAGAACAGAAGAATAATGTGGAATAAAAAGGTTTGATAGAGATTCCTAGACCTATTGCAAAACTCATATACGGTTATACGGGCCCATCTGTTGAGGTGTATGTATTTGATTTGGTATAACACCTTTAATAAAACTAAAAGAAAATATAAAATTTTAAGTAATATTACGTAATATTTGCGTGCGCTTGAATCATAACGGGATCTTTAAGTTTACTTTTTTTTTTAATTATATACATAAATTATACATTGCTCATACATAATTATATACATATAATATATAAATTATGCATATATTATATTTTTGCCGGCTATTTTTAGTTTAAGTAATTGGGTGGGCTGCTATTTCGGTTAATTCTTCTTATTTTTTTTCTTAAACATTAAGGACCTGTTTGGTCATAGATTTTGACAACTTATTTTTTAAAAAAATTAAAAATTGTATATTTCATGGAATATGATCAATTTTTGAAAATAAATTTGAATTTGGTTTTTCAAGTTTCCAAAAACTGCCCTAAATCAGTTTTTGGGTGAAAATTTTCTTTCAGCTAACAAAATTTTAACTTTTTTTTCAAATAAAATGCATGTTCAAACACAACTTCAACTTTCAATAATTATTTTTCAACGCATCTTCAAAAACTTATCTTTTAAATTTCAAGTAAATCTATGTCCAAATGCCTAATTAAATATGTAACTCTATTGTCATTTTAGTTTTATTTAACCTTATTCTATACATAAAAAGACTTTTAATTTTTAATTTTCTAACTCTTAATGCTATATTTTCACAGCCGCATAGTATCACTATCACATATGTAGAATTCTAAATTTTAGTAGTCTATATTTCTCTTCTTAAAACTCTACACCGAATCAAGCATCACTACATAAGTCGAAAATGGAGTATATAAACTATAACTAAATATTCCCCAGATATTGATATTCTTCATTTGTTCCGTTAGAGCTACAATGCCGTCTGAGACTCGTGGAAGGACAACTTATTAGTGAAGTCAAAAGTCCTAAGAAAGATAGATACGTGGCAGAAGGTGAGACACGTGGGAAAACAAAGGTCTTCCCCCTCTCCTGAGATGAGATACTACCTATAATTTAGGTATCAAATTTCCACCATATATTGAGAATCTTATCAATTCTCTGGAATTTTATTGCTACCAATCAGAGGATTACACTTCCTAAATTGGAGCCCATGAATTTGAAAAAGACCTGACCATATTTGATTAGAAAATCTTGGTAATGAATGGTTATCACAATATATGAAGCAAGAAATTAAATAAGATCCCATGGTATATATAAATCGGACCTTATTTGGAAAAATCGCTTTTCTAATTAGGGATGCAATTCAGACTCATATTACCGGATGATACGCTGTATAGAGTGTTTACTGTATTTAGGGCCTGATTAATTGAACTTAAAAAAAATTCCTTATTTTAAGATGACTTTTTTTCATATGAAGTTTCAAAAGAAATGCTACTTCTTGAGTGTGTTTGTGTTATCGGAAAAATCGGATAACGTTATATTTGTGTATGGTTCTAAGGATATGCGATACAATTCGATATAAATCGCGTAGAGAAATGGAAATATGTGTATTGTTGACTGTAAGAATGAAAATAATAAGCAAAAAGAATGAATAAGTAAAACAAGTACACATGGGATAACTATAAATATAAGAAGTGATCTTTTTTTCCGGCCTCCCCTAACTTACAAGGATTCCCCCTTTTATAAAAGAGGGTCATTACAAAAAATAATAAAATAAAACATATAGTGGAAGGCCCATGATGACTAGTCTCTTTCTTGATTCCCGTCAAGATTCTCTCTCTTGGTGTGGTTGCAATGACTCTTGTCTGTGAGCTCGATACTAGCCCGAACTCGTTACTGGGTCGGGCCCTTCGGTCTTGGATCGAGTTCGACCTTCGAGATGGGCATCGCGCATTTCCGACCTCGAAGCAGTGCCTTGCGGATCGATTCGGTCACGGGCTCGATAGGATTATCGAGCCGCCTCCTCGAGCGACCTTCGGGCTCGAGGTTCGTTAGTACCGACCTCAGAGCTCACTCCCAAAATCTCATTCCGACTTCTTAACACTCGAACTCGATCGAACGTAGGAAGAAATCTATTTCGACAGTATACAGATAGTCCCCTCATTTCTCGGAAAAGGATGTGGCGAGAAACGATATGATTTCCCAGCAGCTCGATCAGATATACACTGGTGTTTTTATCGATCCCGACCATGACGTATGTAGTGCTCGATCATCTTATGCGTCTTTATAGTCCCCGACTTTATCGAGGATACACGAATTTTTTCTTCCCCTGTGGGAATTGCTAGTTACTTTCAGTCTTTGTTGACCGGAGAAGATCATCAGTGATGAATGCAGAGGGGTTTCCTGTCTTTTCAACGAGGCACAACATGCTTTGAATCGGGTAACTTCTGATGGCGTTTTCACCGCTTCTTTTACACAGAGTTGTAGGTAATTCTAATGTTTCACCTTTTGTTTGCAGGCTTCGATGTTGCATCACGAGGCTTTTCTCTGAATCAGGGAGGAACATGATGCCGAGGTTCGGAGCCTCACTGAGAAGAGTGACTCGTACAAGCTTCTTAGTGAAAAAAAATCTTCAAGTAGATTTGACAGCGGCTCGGGAAGAGCATGAGGAGATGGTTGAGCAGGTATTCCGAATGTTCCATGATAGTGAAGATGAAAAAGAGATAACCACTAACGATCCGATTCTACAGGTTCGGCAGAGGATCGAGCAGATTGGACGGCTTAATTCACAGGTAGATGCGCTGCTGGCCGAGGCAGAAGAATTTAAAAGGTGTATGGATAACCTTGCTTCGAAAAAAGGAAGCCGTCGAAGCTCAGTTGGAGCTCTCCGATGCCTAACTTCGATCTGCGAAAGAAAATGCTTTGGGTCTGATCGAAAAGATGAAAAAGCTTCAGCATTGGTTAGATTTGGCCACTTTAGATAAAGCAGATTTTGCCAAAGAACTCGAAGTGGCCAGATCTGAAGTGGTCGAGGCCAACAAAAGAGCCGATGCCAAAGTGGCTCAGTTCAGGATCGATGTCGAAGTTAATCAAGCCAAAGCAGCGGGCATGGTCGAACATACAAAGTGGCAGGCTCGGAGAGAGGCTCTCGAAGGGGTCAAAGCTCAGGGATTCGATATTAGGGCCGAGATTGAAGTTGCTAGGGCAGAGGAGAACAGAGCTCGGAGGTAGGCCTTTCCTGAGGAGGACTCCGATGACTCGGGGGAGTCTGAAGATGAGGACGATGCCGAGAATACAGCCTCCGATGAAGATTGAGTCATTTAGGGCCTTAGGTCGATCACTGTATTCTTGTGATACCGCTTTCGGTTTTTGTATAAAGAACTTCCTTTTGGAAGAGTAGCCGCCTCTGTACAAAAATTTTGTAAATACAAATCTTTCTTCTTTTTTGAAGAGAAATGGCCTTTCAAACTAAATAGACAGTTTGAATTTAAATCTCTGTTGCCTTCGGGCCTCGTGGGTAGTCCCCTTGCTTTATCAGGCTCGAGCGTCCTTCAGCTTAAATAGTCAAGTGTTTGTTTTAATTCGAAGAAATGAGTAGTTTTGCTCGAAATAATGTAGCCCGTAGGCGTAATAGTCGAGCGAGTGATTGCTTGAACTCGAAATAAAGGTAGCCAATAGGCTTAGCAGTCGAGTGAATGATTCGAACTTGATGCAATATAGCCCGCAAGCGTAATAGTCAAAGTAGCCCGTAGGCTTATTAGTCGAGTGAGTGATTGCTCGAACTCGAAATAAAGGTAGCCCGTAGGCTTGGCAGTCGAGTGAATGATTCGAACTCGATGCAATGTAGCCCGTAGGTGTAATAGTCAAAGTAGCCCGTAGGCTTAATGGTCGAGTGAGTGATTGCTCGAACTCGAAATAAAGGTAGCCCGTAGGCTTGGCAGTCGAGCGAATGATTCGAACTCGATGCAATGTAGCCCGTAGGCGTAATAGTCAAAGTAGCCCGTAGGCTTAATGGTCGAGTGAGTGATTGCTCGAACTCGAAATAAAGGTAGCCCGTAGGCTTGGCAGTCGAGCGAATGATTCGAACTCGATGCAATGTAGCCCGTAGGCGTAATAGTCAAAGTAGCCCGTAGGCTTAATGGTCGAGTGAGTGATTGCTCGAACTCAAAATAAAGGTAGCCCGTAGGCTTGGCAGTCGAGCGAATGATTCGAACTCGATGCAATGTAGCCCGTAGGCGTAATAGTCAAAGTAGCCCGTAGGCTTAATGGTCGAGTGAGTGATTGCTCGAACTCGAAATAAAGGTAGCCCGTAGGCTTGGCAGTCGAGCGAATGATTCGAACTCGATGCAATGTAGAGCGCAGGCTTAATGGTCGAGTGAGTGATTGCTCGAACTCGAAATAAAGGTAGCCTGTAGGCTTGGTAGTCAAGCGAATGATTCGAACTCGATGTAATGTAGCCCGTAGGCGTAATAGTCAAAGTAGCCCGTAAGTTTAATGGTCGAGTGAGTGATTGCTCGAACTCAAAATAAAGGTAGCCCGTAGGCTTGGCAGTCGAGCGAATGATTCGAACTCGATGCAATATAGCCCGTAGGCTTAATGGTCGAGTGAGTGATTGCTCGAACTCGAAATAAAGGTAGCCCGTAGGTTTGGCAGTCGAGAGAATGATTCGAACTCGATGCAATGTAGCCCGTAGGTTTAATGGTCAAGTGAGTGATTGCTCGAACTCGAAATAAAGGTAGCCCGTAGGCTTGGCAGTCGAGCGAATGATTCGAACTCGATGTAATGTAGCCCGTAGGCTTAATGGTCGAGTGAGTGATTGCTCGAACTCGAAATAAAGGTAGCCCGTAGGCTTGGTAGTCGAGCGAATGATTCGAACTCGATGCAATGTAGCCCGTAGGCATAATGGTCGAGTGAGTGATTGCTCGAACTCGAAATAAAAGTATCCCGTAGGCTTGGCAGTCGAGCGAATGATTCGAACTCGATCTTGTTTGCATAATAAATCTTGAGCATAGAATATCGGTAAAGAAGAGAGCTTTCTT